GATTATAATTAACCATTCGTTTATTGCATACACTGCGCACGCAGTTTTGTGAAAATTCGAGCCAGATGGCACTAGAGTTTTTTTTTTTTTTTTTTTCACTTTATCGTTATAGCATTGTAGCTGTGATAGCGTAGCTCTCTTTTTTCCTATTCTTCACATGACTTCGCTTTGCTTCATTTTTTTTTTTTTTTTTTTTTTTGTTTTTGTTTTCCTTTCAAGCCCTGGCCACGAAATAGCCGTAAACGTGTACTCAACATTTGTTAGGGAGAAAAGGGAGCAACCCCATGTTCCTTGCCTTCTCCTGTGCCTGCCCCTTTTTTTCCTTTTATAACTTTACTAATCATTTTTTGACGCACCTACTAAGGGGCGTCCAGTGAGTGCACCTACCCATACCGCGATAGGTATGCCTTTTTGTGGAGAGTTCTCCGCTGAATTGTTTACTCCAGTCAGGCATATGTGTTGCTGTCCCTAACTCTTGGCAGAGCGTCCCTAGTTATTTGTGCCACAGTTGAAGCGCTTCACGTTGCATAATTTAAGTGAACCGCTTGGGTATAGCCTCCTGCATGCATACGGCGGTAAAGGAGGATACGCGAAACGTTGCTCTCTCTCCCTCTCCTACGTCGGAAGTGAATGTCGAGGGATGCACGTCCTGTTAGCGCAAAGGCAACGGAGGTGAAACTGTGTAGGAGGTGGGCGTAGTTCCAAGCGGCGTGGAAGGTATATACACTATTCCCTTCCGCAGAGTAGTTAAGGGCAACACGCTGAGCGTCTAACACGCTTTTACATATAAAGAGACCAGGATAGTTCTGCCAAGCACGTACACACAGCTGCTCAGGTATATTTGTACACCCCCCTCTGCATACCCGTGTGAGTCACTTGAAGAGTCGCGAAGATGAATGCGAGGAACAACATATTTCAGATCCTCCGACAGGAGGATAAGATAAAGAGGAAGTCCAAGCAGCTGAAGGAGAGCCAGCAGAAGAAGGAGAATGAAAAGAAGGAAAGTGAGAAGAAGGACGCCAGCAGCTTTTCCTTTGATGTGAGTGCGATGAGTGTGTGTTTTTGTTACCTATTTGTGTGTGCATTTTTTCGTGCATTTTTTTGTACATATTTTTTCGTGCATATTTTTTCCTGACAACACTTTTGACCCCTTTTGTTCCTCCCCAGATCAGCAAGTACTCCTCCTGGGCCGACATGGTGGACGAGTACGACGAGTTCTTCTACGAGGTGGAGAAGCTGAATGACCAGGAGAAGAACGAAACAAATAATAAAAAGGAAAAAAAAAAAAAAAAAAAAAAAAAAAAAAAAAAAAAAGAGGACGAATACAGTGATGATAGTAGTGAGGAAGACAAGGAGGACACCGATCAACCCGTACCAACACACATAACGGAAAAGGAAATAAAAAATAACAAAACGTCGAGCACCCCTAATGCAAAGAAAAAGCAAAATGGAAATGCTGCTAATGGGATTAATAACGTAACTAAACAAAAACAAATGGAGAAAAAAAAAAAATGCAAAAAGGAAAGAGAAAAAAATAAATTGGAAAATATTTTAATGGAGTTTACAAACACATATAACCCCAGCGTGGGAAAGGAAGTGCACGATGGGGAGAAGCTTTTGAATGGAGTTGAGTCAGCAGAGGTTACTGTGCCAAGGAGTGGCAGTGGAGGAGGAGAAGAAGAAGGAGCTACTCCCACTGGTGCAGATGCGAATGGCCCAGAGGTGGAGAATCAAAACGAGGGGGATAATGAAGACTTGCTAAAGAAAAAGGAAAAGAAGAAAAAAAAAAAAGACAAGAAGAAAAAGGAAAAGAAAAAGCAGGATGAACTGAACGACTCGCTGAAGAGGGAGGAGCTGGGTCTGGGTACCCCTGGAGACAAGTTTGACGAGGACGCCAACGGCCAGGCGGGCACGCCCCACTCTAAGGAAAAAACGGTAAGTGGGGAGATGGAAGTGTTGTGACAGGCCAACTTGGCTGCCACGCCCTTGGGTGGAGTGCATACCCATGTTAGGAGGGGCCTCCCAACATGCGATCATTTCACCTCACAATATGCTTCACAATATGCTGCACAATACTGTTCAAATTATTCTGCACACCGTTTTCCCCCCCATGTTGCGCCCCCTTAGCCCATCGCGGTGAACGAGAAATTAAAAATACTCATGAACATGATGCCAAAGAAAAAAAAAAAAAGAGAAAAAATCGACGACATTATTGCCATCGTGGAGAGAGAAGAAAATATAAAAAAAAAACAGCAGGACAAGATTAAGCAGAAGGAAAAGCAAAAGTTAAAGATGCTGCAGAAGGCGATGCAGTGAAGGCTCGCTCCGTCTCCCTTCGCTCGTCCGTCCAGCACAGTTCCCATCACCATCGGCAGTGTGTAAGAAGCATGGGCAGTGTTAAGAAGCAGCCCCAGCAATGTAGTCGACCCCTCAGGGATGATGTCGTGGGGGGAACAACAGGGACCCACGATCACACCAGATTTGCTAAAAAGGATTGGGTGTGCTCATAATAGAAAGATTCTACGTTTCTCCTCAGCAAAGCTGTGCCAGTATCGTAGGGATGGTTTTTATTCCCTCGTAAAGTCAAGCTTCTATACCCCGCGTGTGTGCCTCACCACATGCGGCGCCACACCTACAACTTTCTGATTTCCCCCCTTTTTTGTTTGTTTTAAACCACGAAGGTACGACACAGCGCAACGCAACGTAGCGCAAAATTGGCAAGTCCTTTTTTTTTTTTTTTTTTTTTTTTTTAATTTTTCCCCCCAAAAAGCGAATCGTGGTTGGCGTCTGACACACGGAGGACCCATATGTCCTGGTTTGCCGCCGTCCATGTGTTTGTTCCCGCGCGAGAGTATAACTGAATACGTGCACCTGTGCTTTGGTGTGCTCGCGTCCATATATATGTGCTACCCCCCCTCTGCATTTATAAAGGGAAGTTATTTTTTCTTTCTTTTTTTTTTTTTTTTTTTTTTTGAGACAGAGTCTCGCTCTG